TAGCCCAGGCTGGTCTCAATCTCACAGTGATCCTCCTGTCTCAGCCTCCCAAGTGCTGGGATTACGGCGGGGGGGGGCCACCATGTCCAGCAGAGCCTTCTTATTCTTACCTTTGCCCTAACAGATGACACGATATAAAATGTTTGAGTCAACAACCAAAAAATATATAAATGTCACGGGCAGCAGCTATCCTCACAGAATCCCAGAATTTCCACCCTTAGAACAAATGCTTTCCTTAGTGCTGGCAAATGATACACAGCTCCATCAGGAACGGTGCTTCTCTGTGTCAGTAACATCTAAAATGTCTGCAGCTACATAAATGTAATGCTGCTGCCCACCGTGTATCATTTCACTAGGAGCTAATGGAGAAAAAGCACGATAATCTCCGGAAGGAGGAAGACCCAGCAGGGAAGATGCACACTGTGTTGTCATTTGGCCTCCGGGATTGAGGCGGGTTTTGTTTCTGACACTAGGTCTTTTCTGATCCAGCACAACCTGGCTTTTCCAAGTTGTACTTTGCACCCAAATGATTATTCACTTTAAAACCAAGGCAACTGATTTTTACTTTCAGACTATACCAGAATGACAAAATAAAATATGCATCCTCACATCTACTTTTGATCCCCACACCACCACTGCAACAATGAGCAGCCAAGGGCAGCAAGCCAGGAGACCACGCTTTTAACCCTTGCCTGCACTGGTGCTGCCCGTGAAAACTGCTTTTAAACGGAGGCACCAAAACACAGGGAACTGTGCCAAGGGCTGGAAGACAACACCACCATGTGCTTAATGTTAAAGCAGAACCCTAGGAACGACAGATCTATTCACCGACTGACCTTGCCTTGATGAAAGAGGGGAAAACCTTCCAGGTAATGCAAATAAAAGTTCTACACTGGAACTGCAGATACATAAGCTAAGAGATCCTAAAGCTCTATGTTTTCAATTAATAAAACTCTCTCTTCTCACTCACAGAAAATAGCAATCTTTACAATATTAAGAGGTCTGTCATTTGGAAACACACGCCATCACCTTGCACGTTTGCACAAGGCTATCATTTGGGCACCTAAAAGCCTCACTGTGCCTGTGACAGAGGAGAGGACCCCCATGGCTCAGAATGCCAGCCCTCGAGCGATGCACCGGGAGGACGTCCTGGGCTCCTCTCTGCACTACTGCCCTGCCCTGGCTTTCAAAGGCAGAGATGGTCCATCCTGCCCCTGCTCACTAAGTGGGCCATGCACACTCGGTGCTGTCACAGACACTGATGTCTGTCTACAGCTGAAGCAGGGAACACGCGTTGAGAATTTTAGAGGCTACTCTATAATTAATGGCTTTTATATTTATACAGCTAGGAACTTCAAAACAGTCAGAATGTTTTCTGGTCATCTGACAATCAGAAGCAGAACAGTTCATATGTAGAAACAAACACTTGTGCACAGCTATTCTACCTCTTTTGTAGTGGTCACCATACACACACACTCCAGTGTCAGCATGAGTCTGACACTGAGCCCTGCTGCAGCCCCGCTGAGGCAGGCACCATACAGCACTGCATGGAGTTTCAAAAGGAACCAGAGCTGACCGAATCTCTAGGGTGGGGGTTGGGTCAGGAGGCAGACTGTGATGGGTGTGCTATTTTGTGCACACACTGAAAACCAGACTGAATACTTTAGAAGGCATTATAGAATGTAAATTCTATGCAATACAGCTATTATCCAAGAATAGGAGATGAGTGAGGGAGGAAGATGAGGAAGAGAAAAAGGAACCAAAGAGCCTATGAGCAGCGTCCTTTACCTTGGTCCTTAAAAGTCTGTGTTATCACTATGCCATCTTCTGGAAATTTAGCGATGCTGCACCCTGATGCATAGTACACTGGAAAACAGTTGGTCAAAGTTATAGAAACCAGGAACTCTTCGATCCACAGCTACCCAATTTACCCATGACATATTCTATAGACATCACGTTTTGTTTTGTTTTTTCGGTGCCAGGGATTAAACTCGGTTCCTTATGCTTGCAAGGCAGGCGGTGGAACCACTGAGCTAAATCACCAGCCCGAAATCATGTATTTTTAAAGACTGTTTTTAATCTTAAGAAAGAAGCTGCTATTGCCTTATTATACTTGAACTGCAAATAACTGTCTCAAAATTCAAGTAAGAAAACACAATTTGCATAGGGATTCTGAACACACTTTATAAGTCAGAAAAGCCAGAGACTCAAAACAACCTGAATCAGGACTTGCAAAACTACTAACAATAGTGTTCAAGACATTTTTCTAGAAACTAGAACCCAAAACTTACCCATGGGGAAACTTCTTAAATGGGCTTTGTAACTTCATAAACAGAATTTTATAAATAACCAGGAACCTAGGAGGTATTTCCCACTTGAGAATATAGAGCATAGAAAGATCCTACAGGCAGCACTGAAATTAGAATGCTTATATAAAATATTTTCATTTTAAAAACCAAGACAAAACTTGAATGGCTGATACACAGCATTACAGGGGCACTTCTGAATATGCTGACTTGTTCTAGCCAGCTTATGGAGGAATACATCATCCGCTCTGAACCCCAGACTTCAGCATGTGTTCCTCTGTCCCAGGAGCAGCACCCCCCATACACGATACAAAGCCTTACTGTCATGGTTGGCCAAGGTAAACTCCCCTTCATATAGGCCATCGCTGAACCCCATGTTCCACACAGACAGCAGCTCGTTCAGAGCTGGGATGTTGGCTCCGCCAGTATCCGGCATCCACCACTGCCTATGAAGGTAGTAACAGCACAGAGAGGGCAAGAGTTAAAAACACTGTCATTCGGGGAAACTGAGGCAGAAGGACCACAGGTTCAAGACCAGCCCGGGCAAGTTAGAACTCGTCTCAAAATGGGGGTGTATCTCAGAACAAAGACCCTAGGTTCAATCCCCAGTATCCCCACACACACATAAAGAAGTCCCAAACCAATTCGAACCAAAAAAACCCTGGTGTATACTTTATCTTTCCACGACCCAGCTAAATGTCTCCTGCCACAATCCAGTCCATCCATCCACATGAAAATGTCAACTGAAACCAGCTGTCAGAGTTTCAGAAACACTGCAAACATAACTGCTTCAGCCAATGTACAGAATACATTATGGCTTCAGTTTATGAACTAATACTTTACTTCACTGAAATGCACCACATGTAACTACATAGCCCAGACCTAGCCAGAATCAATGAAGCAAAATAAGAAAGAAGCTTATAAAATTTCAAGTCACAAACTCCAAAAAGAAAAACTCAAAGTATATTATAAAGATGAACTATTTGCAATACACTAGGAATCCTTGATCAATACCTGATTAACGAGTAGTGCTCTTTAAATAATAGCTCCTTTGGTGCATTTACATTTGCATATATTCAGTAATAAGAGGGATGGGAGGCTAGAAAACTAAACAAAAACTGAAAGTTCCTGCATCTAAGATCAATAAAGCAAGACAACAGGCCTCTAAATTACCACTCAGGATCAACCAGCATTACTTTAGGAGCAACCTTCTCCTGTATATACAGAGCTGTTCCACTCAGGCTCTCTGAGGCCCTGAAAGACCACCCACAGGCCAGAGTCACAAAGTACTTGCTCGGTAAAATTTAATTCCCCCAAAGCCATGCTTTTATCCAAAAGCCAACTCCTACATACCTTGTGTTTTCATCATAAAACTTCACTTTTCTCATAACAGAAGTGTTGTACCAGTCACTGAAGATGACGAGTGAAAGGCCATTGTCCACATCCCTCCTTAACTTGGCGATCTCCTCAGGGAAGTATTCCTCCTCACTGTCCACCATTAGCAAAGTTCCTGAGGGTCAAAGTTTGAGAACTGAATGACAGAATGTCACTGTTTTTAGAAACATATTATTTTACTGGGATCCATACCTCAAGTTAATGACTTTCACCATTTGGTTTGTGCCACCCTGTACCACCATAGAAGAGGGTGAAAAATAAAGGATTGGCACCCAGTAATGCACAGGGAATAGCTAACCGTGGTCTTTGGTTTCATTTGTGTTCAATGTAAAAATTTTCACTTATTCAAGGAGCAAAATATAGTTCTAGAGCTTCTTTCGTCCCTGTTCCCAATCAATATGACACATCTACGTTTAAACTGTTACAACCCTTACCTGAAATTGGTATGCAGGTCATTCAGGGTCTGCTCCCACCCCCAGCCAGAAGCGGGGGCCACACCCAGGCTTATCACTGAAAACTGTGGTGGGTTTTCAAACACTGCACACACATCCAACCCAGGCTGCAAGAACGTCTGCAGCACACCACCTCTGCTCACCATACTGCGTGGCATCAAAGCACGTGAAGGGAGAGCCGAGCACCTCCACAAAGTAGCCCATGCTTCTCAGATGCTGGTACATGTCCCTGAAGTTCGTGTGGATATGATCACCATTCCTGGAAGGCAGTAAGCCCAGCACTGAAATGAGCTATCTTCACTCCCAGCACAGGCTCACCCGGCCATCTCTGAAAGAGCATGGTGCCGAGCCCAGGGGAGGACGATGGAAACGAGCCCAGCTTCTGGGCCAACAGTCAGTCAGCCCAGTGGCTGGCTAGGGCAGTGAGGGCCCACCCCAGGGGTTGCGGCCAGGTGAACAAGTCTAAAGAGGCAGCCCCTGGAGAGGAGGAAATTGTGATGGCGTCTGTGCTTTCATGCCCAGGCTCCCTTTATTGGCCTATCACTGAAAACCACAGTTGGCTTCCAAACATGAAATGAAACGGAATTTAGGGGAACAAAAACAAAAATGTGATGAGACCCACCAGGAGGCGAGAGAGGAACGTGCAGCTTCAGCTAGGGGGAGAGCAGAAGGCCACACAGGGAAGGGCTGATGAAAGCTGGACAGTGGGACTGATCGGGTGCTGGTCGACTCAATGGGAGACAGACAGCAGTAGAGGGGGGACGTCAGGGTTTTCACTGCACTTATTTAATTACACTCAGGAACATCTCAAAGGAGGAAGCTGGGGGGCCCCAGCGCGTGACAAGGACCCCTGAAGGTGGCAGGGAAGTGGGCACTCAACATCAGGGGGAAGGAGAGGCGAAGAGCATGAGTGCGGTGGCCGCTCACCAGTCCAGAGGGTCGTTCTTCATCCTTAAGTTGTCCCTGGGGAAGTAGCCAGGGGGGTAGCGGAGGTTGTGGTACTGATCCCAGAGGACCCTCTTGCTCCGAGGTGGGGTGGGAATTATTTTCACCTTAACTGGGAGCTTCACCGTTGACATCTGTTCTGCACCATTTTTTGACTTAAAAAACAAAAACAAAAACAAAAAAAATCCAGAAACTTGAAATGTCTCCTTTTCTCAAAAAAACAAAACAAAACAAAAACCCAAGGTTTTCAGGTTTAAAGAAGTCATTTCTATTTAACACACAAAATCTGAACATGAGAACTTGAACACACGTGTGTATGATTTAGTGTCCACATGCCACAACTACATTCCATTCAAACTCTTAAGAGCTGAGGACAAAATATAAGGCACTTTTTTCCAAAAAACAGGAGCTATAGAGGATGACCCTACATTTCCTTTTAAAGAAGACCATTCCGGTGCCCTTATTCTGAGCCCAAAACCTGGCCCATGAAGCTCGTCCCTGGTGCTGCACTGAGAACAGCAGCATGGTCCCATCAGCAGAGCTGGTGGTGAGCTCCGTTGCTCAGGGGCCGTGGGCCATGGCTCATGACCAGCAAGGCTCACCCTGTCCATCCACTGCACTGCACTGTAAACCAAGATCCGGCATTAAGGCCGCCCCTCCCTCCTTTCCTGGAAGCGGGCAGAGAAAGGTGAACGAAAACAAGCCACTTCTGGCACTGCTTACTTCCATCTCCGCTGGGGAAGCCACGGTGATCATGACATGGCCCTGGGCAATGCCCTCCCAGGAAGCTGCCTTCTTGGTCACAGAAATGGAGATGGCCAAGTAGCCTGACCAAGGCCATAACACGGAGGAGTAAGAGAAAGCGACTTCAATGTTGTCTCCATTCTGTGGCAGATAGGGCTGCCAGTCAGGCTGCAGGAGAAAGAAACCAGGCCAAAGTGAAGGCACATGGCAGGAACACTCGGCACCAGGTAAAGCTCAACTCCTCCGCTATCTACATGAGCTCTTGAAAAATTCAGTACTTCATTACAATGGGAAAGATGAAATGTATGCACAGATACCACTATTTCAGTCTCCAATCTCACAGAGATCCCCCAGGAAAGAAAGAGGGTCACATGCCAAGTGCTTTGATGAAAATTCTGATTAAAGAACTTATCTGAGCTGGGCATGGCAGTGCATGCCTGTAATCCCAGCGCTTGAAGGCTGAGGCAGGAGGACTGCTGCAAGTTAGAGGCCAGCCTGGCTACACAGTGAGTTCAAGCCCAGCTTGAATTAGAGTGAGACCTTATCTCAAAAAAAAAAAAAAAAAAAA